CGGAGGGGCGGGAGGGCACAGATGCTCACCACACGTGCAGGTGCAACTGACAGAATGTGGCTACACACCGGGTGTGGGGATGAGAGACAGGGAGTGTCAAGGGTGACTCTGGGGTTTCTGAACGATGATTTATAGGAACAAAGGACTTGAAACTACTTAAATGTCCATCACAGGGAATTGTCACATCCATAGGTCAGGCTCTAACATGGCTGTTAAAAGGAACTGAGGAAATTAAGAGGCATGAAACTATAACATATTAGGTTAAAAAAACAAGGTTTCGAATACTATGACTTGCATGCTATCTGTGCAGAAAATGGAGACAGTGTACATGAAACTACTGTCGGTGTTGAGCGAGAACAAGGCGTGGCCTATAAATGCCTGTCAGGCACGCGGCATAGAAGGGCTTACAGAAAAGCGTTCACCTTCCAGAGCGAACTGGGGACCAGGAGGTGGGTGAGAAGCTGACTTAATTCTCATTTGATTTTGCTGTAGTGTTTGAATTCCATACCATGTGTATGTACTGTCTTTTTAAAAATTAAAAAATAAACAGAAATAAGACCATTCATCTCAGCCTCTGCCGATCATGCCGCGCTTTTTCTGCCCCTCGGATCTGCGCTCACACGCTGGTGACACGGCCCCAGCCAACCTCCACGTTTCCAAACTAATTCTTCACTAATTGATGCTGATGCCTTTTAGAAATGTTGCAAGCCTCATGGGAAAGCTGCTGCCTGACCTCTGTACGGCTGATAATCTTAATCTGTTCTGTCTAATAACAAACGATATCGTGACTTTTGTTTATCGCTCCTGCTTCCTATTCTTTTCACTGGGTCATCCCAAGTTTTTCTCGCCCACAGAGAACTGCACAGAAACTCCGGGTAGCTACTATATAATGTTTAGGATAAGCAGCAGCTTGAATGAGATTTTTAAAAATGAAGTCAAGAGAATTTTAAGGAGTAGAGAGTCTTGATAGTAGATATGCCCTTTTGACCTCTATGAGACCACAGTATAGAAATGATCTGTCCATGACCTACCTCGATCCCTGAGAGTTCTCCCTGCCCTAACTTGTTCTGTTATAGAAAAGAAAGTGGCAAAATTAAATTTTAATGATGGATTTTCTACATGCTATTACTGACATCTCGTTACACAAAGTTAATTTGGAGTAGTATCTGTCATATTATCAAACTACCCGGATCTGGACCCTGGGTTTGTGCACAAAGTAGTAATATGCGTTCACAGTATTAACCTCCAATCTTGGTTCTGCTGAGTTCAACTACATGTTTTTAATTATTCTATTTCCTCTAAATTCAGAAGATAAAACCAAAAGGAGGGAATGTAGCAAACTGTTAAACCAAGGACCTTTCTTAAAGTGTTTTCCAACACACTTATGAGATCAGTCATAATATTTATATGTACTCAAGCACTTTGAAATCTCAAGCTGCTTTAACCAGCTGTCATTTTGGTGTCAAATTCCGGTCATTTTAATGTGAAACAAAGGTCAACAGAGGGTCTGTCTTATTCTTTTCCTATTAGAGAAATACTTTATAATTACTGAACTTTGCCTAAACTCCTAACAATAAGTCCCAATTGCCTACTCCTGCTATCTGGGTCACATGGGATTTTATGACTGTTCACAAATAAAATACATAGAAATAAAGCAAAGTAAGTGTCAAATTAATAAAGTATTATCAACAACCAAAAATATACACAACCCAGTACAGTCTATGCAAATTTGGCATTGATTATTAAGAAACATTTATATCTAAGACTGATATCCAGTATGTACACAATGCCAATTCAATTTTCTCTGTATGTAAAATAAGATGACATAGTCACTTTTTTATTGCTTATTCTAGAAATTACACTGTAAAG